TTCATCAAGAACTTTGTCGAGCCCGGCTGGCCAATCCAAGCTGCCTCTGGCTACGACCTCGCGAGCGTCATGCACTATCCTAGCCGTAACGGCTATGCAAAGCCAGATTGCAATGACAATGGTGTAGACTGTCCCATCCAGGCCTACCTCGATTGGAATGATCATGGTGAGGGACTTGGGTTGCTGGAACGCGCTACGAAGCCGAGCGAGATGGATATCATCTGGGTTAAGCAGAACTACCCTTGGAATGTGGATGCTTGAGTGTTGGGTGTACAACTGTTTACCCTTCGACGCGTTTAGAGGTTGATAGGATGGTGCAAGATGGCTAGACTGATCGTCGCATCGACACCTCTTGATGGGTGTTTAAACTGGTACATCGGATAGGAAGCAATACATTACCGATCATTAAAACGCAACATGCAAAAGGGCTACAGAGCAAGACTACAGCGTCCTTATCAGAATATCGAACGGCCGTTTCTTCGTCCGTGAATGGGGCGTGCACATGAGCGAACTGTCGCTCGTTAAAGTGCTTCAGTCAGCTTGCAGAGCCGCATCGAGGCTGTGCACCCGCCAACCCTCAACAGGACGTCCGCAGTCTGCAGCAACCGTTCACTCGGATCTCTTTCGTGTCGCAAGGATATCAGTGGCTTGCGTAGCCACATGAAACAGTTTTTCACTTCGTTTGTGTTTCAAGATCTGTCCGGTGCTCTGTCGCGCTGACCGGTGGGCATGCAGCAACCTTTTTTGAAGACAAGGATTGTTGCATATATGGAGTGCAGAAGGCATGCGTTCGGGCTGATAGACATCCAGCGAATGAGAAGGAGGAACGTGCGAACGATGCAGCGGTCGAGTGGATTTGTCGGTGTTCCTGGAGTTGTCTTGGGTGAACGGTCAGCAGGGACTGTGGGATGCATAGTATTACACATCAAAGCCTGCGACGGATAGGCTTTGACCATCGTACATGCGCTGAATAAACACGGAGCGAATGAAAGCGAGAAACGTGCAAGAAATGGAGGGTGCTGCATACCTTGGTTTTGTCTAGGACCAGAGCTTCCTCGCACCTGCTGCCGCCTGGACCATGGCCGCATCGCGATTCGGACACCGGACATATGACGACCCAGGGTTGATATTGCCGTATATGCGACAACTTTGCGATGATACAACAGACCCTCCTACGTCACTGGCGCTTGAAGCGCTTTGTTATACTTGCCCTGGGTCAGTGATGAAGGAGCCGACTCGGCCGAGGCGTTGTTCGCGAAAAGGCTGACCGCAGTGCATTCGGTAGCTCAAATATGGTACAGCGATCTGCAGCTTTGTACCACGTCGATAACGCAGGACGTAGGACGCAGGTGGATGGTCGCACTTTCTCAATTTGTAATGCAGGGAAAGTGGAAGACTTGGTCAGATCTTGCTGAGAAATTCTCCCACAAGCCGTGCGACTATACACGCAGCCGATCGACGGTCACATGTCTCAGTTCATACCAATGGAGGTGGTTACCGTTCCAACTCGCTTGATAAGCGATTGGAAGGATTGGGCATACTCCCGTGCGCATTGCCCAAGCGTCGACATGAATGACAAACCCTCGTCATACCATCGCATATTACTGGCACGCTGAAGGTCGGAAAAGTTTCGGTCGAGTAGCATTACCAAAGTTGAAGGCATTTGCATGCCGTAACACGACGCGTACCCAGCCGTTGGCTTTTGGGGGCCGCATGCGAATGCGACAGCGTGAAGTCACGTCGTGCGCACCTGGCCCGTGTTATCGAATAGGCTTTTTGACATCCCAAGAGTTCCCCCGGTTAGGCCTGGGCCCACTGCTACTCCAGGAACGCTGTGGCACATCTTACACCGATCAGCAAACTCTGTTCCTCTTATGGTCTGGCTTGTGGCTAGTGCGGTGAGCCTTACAGCCTGCGCTACTCGCGCCCAGCATCTACGTATACCTCGTTCGATGAGACAGAATGGCATTTCATCCGCCGATCGGGACGACTGCCTTCTGTCTTGGAAATCGTGCGTGCAGATTGCATACGATGACCAAGAAAGACCCAGAAGCTGCAGAATGATGAGGTTACACGGTCAAAGTACGAGAAAAAAGAAAGTATGAGCATGGATTGCTTGAGCAAGTGGCCCCTGCTGTCAGTCAGCCATCCCTGGGCGTTGCTTGTCCCTACTGAGGTGTGTATGTACTGTCAAATTCACTCACCACGCTTGGCGCGCTTGCGTGTACCCAACTCCTGGCTTGAAGTCGCGCAAAGCGAGATAGTAAGACGCCGTGATAGCAATGGGGGCGGATGAAGCAGACTTCGTTGGCCGGCCCTGACTAGTGACGCTGTCAGACGCACGCTGAGAGCCTCGAGTCGCTGGCCCAGCGGCAAGCGCGGGGCTGGAGCTCTCCCCCAGGGCCCACGCGTTCTTTGCTCGATGACCCGTTAACGTACGTGCTATGCACATCAAAGGAGTTCCAAGGTTGCGACGCGCAGCAGCCGACAATGTCAAGATTCAGCCCCCCGATCTCGTGCGTTTCTCCTGCAGCGCCCGGCCGGTGAAGTTTTGAAACGGGCTGCCAGACGGTCGCAACACGCGGCTCGGCAACATCACCACGCCCGACCCTCGCCCACACCTATCAGGAGTCGCAACCCTCTCGCTTCTGCCGAACTGCCCACTCCCCGTGCAGGGCTCACAGCCGTCGCAGCTGAGATGAGTTCCCCTTTGTAGCAATTATGACGCTTTTGCCGGTGGTTAGCTTGGCGAACCTACCCCAGGACGACGTCTTGGCTCTTGTTAGCTGCTCGATCGGGAAAGGGCATATGCCTTGGTCGTGAGGCTTCAACGTGGTCGTGAAGACGGCCGCTGTGGCAGTCATAAGTGTGCCATGGACGCGTATGCGCAATACACTCTTGCTCATTTCTGCGGATATACTGACTTGCTCACTTGCCAACTTCGTTCTCACCTTGCACACCAATACTATATAGTCGCCTTGTACATCGAATCCTCTCTCGACAGCTATTTCACCTTGGTACTCTATCCCAAGAAGAGACTACATAAACTCGAACACTCAACACATTCTCACACAGACATCGTTCATCCATCCACCTCACTACACTCGACTACCGCCCAACTTCCAAAAATTGACGCCCAACCACATCCAAACTCCATCCAAGATACCCGCCACCGTGGACCATGTCTCGCAACAGTAAGTCAGCTTACCGTCCCGTCCACATCTCCGACATCTTTCCTTCTCCGACACCAGCGAGCTGCGCCTCGGCTCAGCCCACCATACCCCATACGGCCTAGCGTACCGACACATCCGCACCTTCCCCTGATGCATTTCCCAACTTTCTCGATCTCTCAGCTGACCCACCTGTTCCCAGCCTATCCCTACGCCGTCAAGCTCCCGTTCCGGCGCTCACTCGCCTGCATCGGCATCCCGAGTCATCGCGACGCGTTTGCCGTTTACTTCCACTGGGTGCGACAGCGTTATTATCGCGCGCAAGATGTCATGGGCGATGAGCTGGCCTCGTCTGTGAGATCAGTGGTTGGTTCATGCGATGCATCGCGCATGGATGACTACGATCTTGCGGAGCCTCGGTCGAGGGTTCAGAGCGATACTGAGAGGTTCAGGGTCGACCTCCTGAATATCGGCGCGGGCTTTGAGGGCGAGGCCGTTGCGCTGGCATATCCTGGTGAAATTGACGTGAGGGGCTGAGGGGCACAGCTCTGGAGGCTTGGGAAGCAAAGTGAGGGGCACGACGGGCGCAATGGGCAGGCACATGGGCATAGCGAACCGGCGTTTTAGAAGCGCTTATACTGGCAGCGATGAGTCTTTGCATTTGGATCACGGGTCACGATTTTGGCCATTTGTATAACATTTTGACAAATCTTGGATGGATAGATAAAGGATGACATGTACAGCCTCTTTGTAGTGAGCGTATTGGGTTACAAGCATTTCTCAGATTGTACATTTGCATGATCATACCCAGCCATGCTGTTCCCCATCTAGTAGAACAGCTCCTGAAGTTGATCTGACCTAACGTACGCGATGGTCAGATCCTGTGGTATCATCATCTGTCGCCGCCCCGATCGACCTGGCTCGGGATTCCACCCAACCTGGCAACTCGGTGTTGTGCAGACTTGGGCCCTTGCTATGCATCGACTGGCGACGTGTGATTGCGTGCAGAGCTCTGGTCGGTCGGTGACGGGCTTTCGTTCCGGTGCCAACCCACATATCAAACACTTCAGCTTGATTATGCGGCCAACATGAACGACGGCAGTGTTGATGAGGGTGTTTTTTGACTTAGACACTATCGGCTGTACCACCCAGCTACCCTGTGGGCTTCCCTGACTGGGACGCGCTGAGTTCGTTGTGGTTGGTTGTCTTGCGTTAGCGGCTTCTGATGGGCGGTAGAAGTAGGTGTTGGAGGTTTCCGCGACCATGGTGGGTCGGGAGAGAATTTTGCCGCTTGGGAAGGCATCGTCTGACTGTGCTGCCTGGATAATAGCTTGGTTGTTCGGGCCGTAGTTGTCTAAAGGCACGTTTTTGTCGTATGTTACTGTTTGTTGGTATCGTAGCGTCTTTTGGGTTAGCCTTTTCTTGAGCGCCTCTACCTTGTATGCTCTCTTTGTTTGTTCTATTTCTGTGGCGGTCACGAGAGCTAGGGATGGAGGGGGCTGAGAGATTGTCGACTTGCTCTGGGTTGGGCTTCTTCCGCTCTTCTCATGCGTTCTCGCTGCTCGGGCTTCGAAGTACCCTGCTTTGGTGTTGACGCCGCTCAATGCCGCAGCAATGTTCAAAGCTGCGTCGTACTGTCGACCGACTGCCGTGGTTCGGTTCCTTAGTAGATATTCCGGGTGCCAGGCGTACACGACGACGAACAGAATCTTTTGGGCGTTGTTGCGCACTATGCTCTCCACCAGCCCAGGTGTCCTTTACGTTATCTGCCCGGGTGACGTCTTGCACTAACATAACTTAGTTATCCTCGTCTACCTATACGTCTAAATGCTAGGTCGTGCTCGCGACGTCGATGATGGCTCCTGCCTCGTTGGCCATTGTGTTGTCACTGGCGGCTGCCCGCGTGCTGTCGACGCCTGCATGCTGAAGTGGCATAGTCGTTGATGCTCGATCCCAGGCGAAGGCTGACTCGCTGGTCTTGCTCGCGTCGTCGATGATGGCTGCTGCCTCGTTGGCCATGGTGTTTTCACTGGCGGCTGCCCGCTTGCCGTCGACGCCTGCATCCTCAAGTGGCAGAGTCTGTGATGATCGACCCCAGGCAAAGGCTGCTTGCTTTGTTGGCCTCGTGTCCTTGGCTTTTGGTGCTCGCTTCCTACTGATAGTTAGCGGTTATCGGTAACGATCATAGGAAAGCGCATCTCACCTTTTTGGCTGTGGGTCTTCTGCCAGCCGTACACCTTGTCCACTGAAAGACAGTGTAGCCTGTCTCTTACGGTCGCTGGCGGTCGACATACCTCGGCGCTCGAATCGAGACTTACTCGTGGACTGTAGGACGAAGATGCGAAGGATGAAGCTTGAGCACGACCACACTTACCGTTAGGCTGTTGATGTGACGCCATCTCTCTAGCAAGCAGGCGCGTTGGGGGCGTATCCTGTTGGAGCAGAACGCGACTTCCCTTACTTGGGCGGGCACAGAGTGCAGCAGGCGCGCACCCCATGCTTGTTGGACAGCCCACCAGCTCTCTCACGATCCTTCCGTAGTGAGTTCGAACGACACGCCAAGTCGCGAAACTTATAGTAGTGTTGCGTATAGCAGCAGAAGACTGGCATGTGACCGCTCCCGAGGTACAGAAGTGAATGATGCGGGCGTTGAGGTTTGTGGAGACCTGGGGACAACAAGAGAAGCTGTCACGACGCCAGGGTGGACATATCACCTAGGCCTTAGCGCGACCCACATTTGTATGAGCGTTGGGCACATCACCTCAATTATCAACTTCCCCACATCATCCACACACCGACAGTGTATTTCGCTGTTTTTTCCTTGCACGTCGATCAGAGTCACGAACACCCTGGACACCACATAGGGTACGACTTCTCCACCTCTCGATCGGCCGAACCGAACTACATCATCACTGCTTTCGAAAACGGCGAAATGAGCGGTAACGTCGCTGGAAATTCTGAAGCAGGTCGCCCGCGCAAAGAGGTTCGTACACCCGCTCAAGAAGCGAATGCTGCACGATATCAACATTAACGTTGGGCTAACACCGAACGCAGCTAACTATATTGGAGCTTGTGGAGACTACGAGCAAGTCCAGCGACACAACCACCGATACAATTCAAAAGATTAATCGGAAACTCTAGATTGTGAAAGGAGCCCTCGAGCAATTACAGAGCACCGTACTGAGCGCACGAGACCTGGCTTCGGACGCAAATGAGCAGCTAGCAGTATTGCTGACTTCGAAAGACGAAGCCGACCGAGTCAAGTGTGGACAGGAGATGGCCGACCTACTGTCTTGCTGCATCGATGATGTGATTGAGGCCTTCAAGACGTTGAGGCTCCTGGTGAAGGAACTGGGTAACCGCCGTGGTCGGTAGGTCTGCTAAAAGGCATCTGACCTGGGACATCACTGATTACGCTGTGCTGCTTTAGATCATGGACTTTTCTGTGAATTTGAAAGCGCCAGGAGTATCAGTCCGTAGATAATGATGAAGATCAAATTCTCCTTCTGACTCATTCGACTGAATGCATCGATATGTGATCAGCACGACAACCCCATTGTAGTCCCCTTCTTCAAATATATCATTCATCATCATCTGCGTCGCTGGCACTGTTTGTTGTACATCGGCCTATGTCGCTGATTTCTGGGACTCTTCCTCCGCTCCGACATTTCGTCGTGATGGTACGTATACGTCTGGCATCGAGGGAACGCTAAAGTAGAAGTTTCTGCCTTCACCTGCCTTCATACACTCCCAACGCCCTGGAACTTCCCTCCGCCAATTCGGACGTTCTAATGAACCTACCACCGATTGGATCTCCCAATTCGCAACAGTCGGACATGTACAACGACGCTGGATTACAGAAACCCCTCGCCGACGATGTGGCATCACTGCTGAGCGACCGACAAGCCGCGCTACGCTCGAGGGTACAGAACAAACAGCGGTTGCTTGCGCGACTCATGAAAGAACAAGCCGCCAAAGAAGCCGCTGCGGTGACCGAAGCGGACCTGGCTTTTCTGGGTACATACAGGTTTGAGACGTACAGGAAGAGAACGCCCGCGGAGCAGGAAAAGGCTTATATGGACGTAAGTAACGCAGTTAATGAACGAGTTGTTCGCAAACAGTCGCTAACAAAAACCTTTTAGAACCGATTCTATGCATGGACCGACACGATCAAGGCAGATTATGAAGCTGCGTGGAAAACTCTGTGCCCACCGGATTCCGATGAACACCCAGAAGTCGCGGTCTTGAGCATCGCGAAGAAGCTGAACGACACTTACAGAGGACTGCCTGGTTGGGTTTCTATTCCTACGGACGCCGATGCTATGGTGGAGAGTCTCGATGAGCGACAGACAGAGACTGTTGAACAACAGGCAGCGTCCGTACAAACAGCACCCGTTGAACGACAGGCAGAGCCGATTGAACGACCGACAAAGCCAATCAAACGAAAGGCAGAGCAGGTCGATCGAAAGACGAAGCGGGATGATCGAAAAGGAAGAGCGGGTTGATCAAACGAAAGAGGAGTTCGATCAGAAGGCGAAGCGGGTTGATCGGAAGAAAGACCAGGCTAGGTACAAGCCAGCGCCGTTCTTCAATGCTGATGTCTCCCAGTCGAAGCCCAGGGGCAAAAGGCACTCCGGCCCCAGGCAAGGCACTTGAGCGACATGCCAGCAGAAGAACGGAGGTTTCCACATCTTAAAAACTACCTTCTTTGACATGGAAACTGCTGCGCTGGTAATTCAATAGGCGCGAGCTCGGTCGGTCGATGGCGGAGGATGAAAAGTTTACCGGCGAGTTTTTCATTTTTTTAATATTCTTGGAGTTAGCCAAAAGTTATGCCTCTCTTAGTTCGTGCTGCTTTACAGATACTGAGTCCTTCCAATCAACTATCAGTTTTGCAAATGCCCATACTTCAGATTACGAGAATTGGCTACAACTGATGGCACAGTGTTCTTCGCCAGGCGAATACAGGCCATGTTATCCTCTTCCCTACGTTCCAACCCCAGTGCCAGCTGTATACAACGGGCTGTCATGAGTACGTCCAACAAGGCGGCGACTGTTAAGTACCTCCTAGGTGCCGTTTTGTTGCCCTTTGAGTGGACTATTGCGGCGTTGTCGACGACACTTCGGAGAGAATCACGAACGCTAGCTGCTAGGTCTCTGAGACACATGTCTACGCACCTCACATAAGTCTCAGTGCGACTCATCTCGGTGTCTAGGTCACAGCCAAACCCTTGTTCCTAACTCTAGACAACATGTCGGGCAACGCACACAACTCTACCTCTATAAACTGGCAAGTAGCTTGTCAGAAACGGAGCAATCAGCGACATATCAATCAGCGCCTAAGACGAACGACCGCTTCTCAACGTAGCCCAGTCCTCCAACACACCTGCACCAATGTCCACACCAATCACCCTGCCTATAAGACCAAAAAACACATCAAAAGCCCTCCCACCATTAACCCTTTCCACCCTCCGCCAACACTTCCCCTCCCTCCCACCATGGGCCGTCTCCGCCTTCTCCGAGATCTACAACGCAGTCCAAATCTTCAAGAACCCCCAACTCGCCGCAATAATCCCGCAACGCCAACTCTCACCCGAAGCCCGCGCGTTGCTCAACATCGCTATCCTGCCTATGCCGGGCTACAAATACGGCCACGACAAAGGACCAATGCTGGATTGCAGCGTAAGTATACGGGAACTGTTTGAGAATGAGCAGAGCTATGAGGGTGGGAAGGAGCGGGTTATTTTGGTGAGGTTGGGGAGGGAGTGTGAGAAGTTGTGGGCGGGGAAATGGGATGAGGGTGGGATGGACGGATGGATGGGAGATGTTGTCTTGAATCGATAGTTTGGGATGGTGTATCGGCTAGCATCCGTCGCTTTCATGAATGATGCAATAGATGGCGATGCAAGAATAATATGCACATGTATCGCTTGCCGCTGCTTCACATTCGAGTGCACGTTCTCTCGAGGTTGTGCGAGAGTTACTGGGATATAAGCAATTAAGAAGTTATAGATCCGAGAAGAAGAGGTAATTGCCAAAGTCGGATCTTCCAGAAGATTTAAGCTCGATCTGATAAGATCAGCGTATATAAGTGACTGATTACTCACGCGACGAGCAGTGGGCAGGAGCTACCCCTCCTGCATCCCTGTCGCTTCCCGAAGTCATCCCTCTTCCGGACAAGCCTGGGCGCAATAACTCCACGTCCACGAACACTTGGTGCTGAGCATTTCAGGTGAATAACAGTGGGAGGTGTCGACTACGATAAGTTCAGCAATACAACTGCCGCAATGGCCACGTCACAGCAAAGCCTAGACCACCTAATCCTCTTCGTCCCCGCCAACCCAACAACGCAACTGCCCGAAGTCCCTCCATTCTTCTCGGACAACTTCACACTCACCCCAGGAGGCTTCCATGCTGACGGCGCGACATCGAACGTCTTGATTCTTCTCGCAGATGGGTGCTACATCGAACTCATCTCCTTCGTCAATCCTTCCCTCGCGCCTGAGCATTGGTGGGGCCCCGACGCCAACTTCGTAGGCTGGAAAGACTGGTGTCTGACCAACTCGCTTTCGCCCGAGAAGAACTACGAGGCGGTGATAGAGAGTCACTCAAAGCCGATCAAGGGTGGGAGAAAGAGGGCCGATGGAGTCGATGTAGCCTGGGCTGTCACATTTCCCAAGGGAGAGAAGGGTGGACAGAGTGTTAGGGGCAAGGTACCATTCTTCTGCCACGATATCACTCCTCGGGGTGTCCGCGTTCCAATCGACGATTCGAAGACGACTCATTCATGCGGCGCGATTGGGGTCAGCCGACTTACTATCGTCGTGCGCGACCAGGCCCTGCTAGAGGAGACTAGAAAAATCTACGACGCCGTCATCGGTAGTGCTGGTGAAAAGGTTGATGGAGGGTATGAATTCAAGCTCAGGCGCGTGCATGAAGTGGAGACTCGTGACACCGGTGCAAAGATTATACTGCGCTTGCCAAAGAACGAGGAGGAGCAGGAACACGTTAAAGAAAGGGGATTTTGGTATGGAGACGTAGTCCTGGTAACAGACGCGAAAGCCGGAAAGTTTGGAGGCTCCGCGGAGAGGCTGGATAGTGGAGAAAGAGGTGGCGGGGTTGGCGGGGTGTGGCTCGAGCATGCCTGAGCGGACGGCGGTGGATATAAGAGTGGATTATCAAGGGACCAGTGGGACCGAGATTGAGGCTGAACTATAATCAGTCGTGTTTCGTATTTCTTGCTTGCGAAAGTACATGTGCCGGGTGGCCTTCGGAACACGACCCTTGGTCTGGGTGGCGACCTGTGCTATAGCAAGGGATGCACCTGCAGGCCGGCGAAATGAAACCATGCTTGCACACACCCGTGGTACTACTGTGCTGCGTTGGCACAAAGCGCAGATCGAAGTGGTTATATCGCGCAGAAGCGCCATGGGCTTGTTCCTAGCCATGCAAGACTATATTCGCATTCGTAGTCGAGAGGATTTATGGATGTGTAAAGCTAAAGGTTGCATGTGCCTTAGTGGCGCTAGGCCGCAACCGGGCAACCGAGGGACAACCCAAATTTGGCAGCTGCGATGATTGGCGGGTGCAGTCCGGTGGTTTGAGATGACTAGATCCACAAAAGATCGGGTTTTATCCTTAGGTAGAAGATGGTGATGCGCGTGTTTGTTCAAGACATGGCTTACTAACAAGGTGCAGTCTAGGAGATACACCATATGCCGTCCGGTCACGATAAGGTTATACAGCATAGTGCATGACTCGGGTTATTTGTGCGATGGCACTGCAGAGGTACATAGAAGGACGACGAGGACGACAGGACGGCGATCTGGAGGCGTTGATACGGCAAAAGAAAACACGCCAGCGCCCCAATCTTGGGTTCCTCGCTTACAAGCAGCGAGATGTCTAGAGCGAGAGCAGTAATTCTTCTCGGCGGAACTCGAATCGAAATTTTGAGGATGGCGGGGCTAGCTCGGACCACTGATAGCGGGCACGTGTCCCAAGGTTTGCTTTTGTGCTAAGGTGACAAAGTGAAGTGCCGGCAGGATCGCATTCGAGGCAAATTCCATGTCGACCTGTCTGGTCGCGCATGGGAAATTGCTGTGATGCAGTGTGCGAGTGGCCAGCGACGGCGGGATGCCGCTGAACGGCGGAGGGGACGACCGGCAGAGGGGCCCGAGGGCTAGCGCCTGCGGATCTGGAGTCAACGTCGACGCCGTCTACTTCTCTGCCCGCGCCCGTGGTCGAGGAAGTCACTATCTGGGGCGGCGGAACCTTCGTCTCGACACTCGCCCCGTGGCGCGCCCCTGCAATGGCGGCGCACGCAGCAGAACCAGGGCAAATGCGCGGGCACGATGAGTATTGGCCATGCGGACTTGTGCACCGAAGCCAATCACTACGAGGTCGCTCCCGCCAAGGCGCAGCGTTCATCCCCAATCTTTGATTCCCATGACGCAGGCGGTTATTTTCATAAACACGATGCGAGATGCGCTGAGATGACTCTTGTTCCCTTACCACGCAGCGTGAGTTTTCGCGAGCGGCCCGATGCAAGACGACAGGCGACCTGGACCCCCTCCGGCTGGTCACCCCTCGGCCGGTCCCTACGGGTCGCAGTTCAAGGTCGCCATTCCACGCTTACCACCCCGACGCGCCCCGCCACCCACCACGCCCAAGTCGCGCCAGAGGGACAGAGTCCAGCGGGCATGTCGCAACTGTCACAAGCGGAGTGCGTTGCCATTGTCTTTTCCAACATCATTCACTTTCTCTCGACCTCTAACACACGCTAGAGATCAAGTGTAGCGGCGGCCTCCCCCGCTGCAACTACTGCGACAAGACCGACAAGACATGTGTATACGAGCGCCCCAGGAAAGACCGGCTGGCGACGTCAGTTGAACGACCTGATTCCAAGTTCTGAAATTGACTCCGCCAGTGCCAAAGACCGCAACCATGCCCTCGTCTCCGTCCTCAAAGACCTCAGCTTGCGCGTCAGCGACGATGACCGACGTCGAATTGAAGATGCCCTCCAGGATGTGAGTACAGGACCTGCCAGCCGGATGCCACTGCTCAAACTAATACCGCCAAGTCAGATGACGAGGTCGGGTCGCCCGTCTCCATATCCTCTTCTTCGCGAGCATCCGCCCCTCAACCATTCTCTCAGCACTCGCGCATGCACCCCTTTGCCCCGTCCTCTAGCTATGTGCCGCTCGGAGCAGAAACCTCGCCTACCTCGGATCAGTCACCCCTTCCTCGCCTGGACGGTACTGTCCCGGAAGACTCTGGCGACGAAGACGGTGGCGAACTGCCCAATGTAGTCGAAGCAGGCTTCTTGGGCCAGATCTCCGAAGTACAGTGGCTACAGACGCTCAGGAGCAGAGTACAAGCTCTCGATACCGTTCTGCTTGGCCCACCTGACACCACTGCGCCACTCTCTCAGCCACCCTCGCCTACTTTCACTGCGTCACCCACCTCCCATGCCGCGACCCCGCTCGAACACATCGCTCTCACCAACTACTATCTCGATGACGAAGGCATCAAACTCACCGACTGTGGGAATCCCTTTGAGCTGCCGCCAGAACACACTGCAGGACTGCTATTCCAGTGCTTCACCCAGACCATCCAAGGCTCCTTTCCCATTCTCCCCCCAACTATAGAGCACCAGCTGCAACAGTACTACACCCTGGTTCGGAACGGGCAGGCTATACATTGCCCGGAGAAATGGTTTGCGCTGGTCAACCTTGTTTTTGCCATAGGCGCCAAGTTTTCACATCTCATCCAGGCTGAATGGCGAGCCGACGAGCTGGATCACATCGTCTACTTATCGCGTGCCTTTCAATTGCTTAGCATGAATGACACAATCGTTGTCCTAACGACTCCGGATCTGCTCACAACGCAGGCAAGTCTGAGCTGCTGATCTTGTTTGACTATGCTAAACGTTTCAGGCTGCTGGACTCTTTGCGATTTACTACATGACTGCTGGCCATGTAAATCGGTACGTATGCGGAAGATCTTTGCTTGTGACTACCTAGTTCATCCTCTCTTCGTCTCTTGCTTCAATCAATGTGCTTGCATGCTAATATTATGTCAGGGCTTGGGTAATGGTAGGCATGGCGATGCGATCGGCCTTCTCGCTCGGCCTTCACGTGCAACAAGATGATCAATCTGTCTCGGCCGCCCGAAGGCAGAGCATGGTCTGCACCTGGTGGAGTCTACATGCACTGGAGAGCATGCTGAGTTCGATTACGGGCCGGCCGAGCATTATACCCAACGAAGACATCACAACTCCACTGCCCAGTGCCGTGAATAGCGATCAGACCCAAAGAGTACCTGTGCTCAGTCTCGACTTTCTCGATGCCGATATCCACCTGAATCTCCTGACCCAGCAAATCATCTCCAACCTCTACACACAACGTAGATCTGCGCCATCATGGGACTACCTCCAACAAATGACCATATCTCTATGCGAACACCTTGACAAGTGGGCATTTGAATACATTCCCCAAGTTCATTCAGAAGAATGGAATTCAGCTCGCATGCCACAACGCGACGTCTTCTTGCTCAAACTTCAGTACTACCGACTGAAGGTTCTGACGACTCGTCCCTCACTCCGCCGTATTGAACGCTGTTTTCAAGCCGGAACCGATGACTTCAATTCGCTCGATCAGTCTGTGGCAGAGTCGTGCGTACAAGCGGCACGGGATGTCGCATCGCTGTTGGCAAACGAGCCTAATGTCAGAAGTCTATATGAAAAAGGGCCCTGGTGGACAATTGTCCACAACAGTATGTTGACACCTCAAATCCCCATGTCACCTACTGACCAATTCATTACAGTCATGCAATCACTCGCCGTTCTCATGATAGCCATATCCTGCCCCGATCACTTCCGCGACACACTACAAGCGTCTGTGCACAGCACACGGCAACTCGTCACCTCACTCCGCAGCATGTGCGACACAAACATGTTAGCGTCCCGCGCCTACCAGGTCGTATATTCGATAGTCAAGACGTCAAAACCGTACGTCTGGGCTGACATAGCGGACGCCTTCCCAGACGAGGTCATCATGGTGCTACAACAACCAGCACCAGCAAAGGTCGACCCGCAATATCTACCATGGCCGGACAACGACCAACCAGCTGAAGCCTTGTTCCGTTATGAAATGGACAACTTCGGCAACTACCACTTTCACATGTTATGAGGACGGGGGAGTACCTTTCGCGGCAAAACTACTGCAGCACCGACTGCACACAATATGATATGATTGGTGAGGGACCCTGGGTTCTACCGTTCAGCGGAATCAATATCTGATTCCATGCTAGCGGCCGCTTTATCACAGCCCACTCTCAAAAGGATCCTCACCTCGTCATCAGCGGGGCCAACATTCGTAAACAGGATAATTCCGCATTCTAGAACACCGCCGGCTAAAAACGGGACAACTGGAGGACCAAAGTCGGATCAAACGGCCACGTTGTATGTGTCTGCCGAATGGGGCCCAACACTCGTCGCTACCGCAACATCACTTATGCGTGTTATACCCAAATACTATCCCGAACAGCGATGCAAGAAGAAGGAGAGATGCTGTATCATAGCATCAGCATTCGCTTGCGCGTGTCACATTATCGACTCGCGTCGTAACGACGACTTTGCAGGACTATGAAGAGGTGAACTACCAAGTACATAGTATGAGGTTCACGGAACAGTAATAGCAGGATAGTAATAAAAAAGCAGTATTGGTTCATGACCAATGCATCTCCTTTGATGCAACAGCGGGGAATTTTCACATGGAGGCATACTGACAATGTCCATGTGACAGTTGTTTGATGCTGTAGGGATGCACTAGCCGGAGACTACCTAGGTAAACCCCTATAGTCTAACCCAATTGCATTGCTTCAGTCTTGCTAAACTCCAACAGGATGAATCCAGCACAGAAGCTCAAGACAGTCTGACAGGTCTCAAGCCAGCTCCTCCCGCAGCATCTCCCATCTTCTCAGTATCAATCTCTCCAATGACGCTCTTCAGCAATTCTGGCACAATCTGCGCCGCATCGCCCTGGAAGAACCAGTCCCCATCGTACAGTCCTCCCGCAGGAACATCATTGGCGTCCATGTTGATAATGGCAACCCTCGCTCCCTTGCTGCGCGCAAGATCCACATACCCGGCTGCAGGATATACCTTCGCACTCGTCCCAATGACCATGATGAGATCAATATCTTCTTCGTCCTCGATAAATGCGTCGACATCCTCCATAACCTTCTTAGGCAGTATTTCGCCAAACCAGACTACACCCGGACGTAGCAGGCCGTTCTTGCATTCGGGGCAATGGGGGAGGTGCTTGTAGTCGAGTTCCGGGATCTCGACGTTGATGTCTGAGATGTCTAGTTCGCGGGCGGCAAGGGCAGCGTTTGTGGTTGGGTCCGATTCGTCGGTGGGTATGGCGAGAGCAGGCACGATGGGGTCGGTGTAGTTGTTGCGCTCCGAGTAGTTGCAGAAGAAGTCTGAGCACTTGAGGTCGAAGAGGGAGCCGTGCAGGAGTTTGAGTTGTTCGGCGGGGTGTTGGGCGCGCGGTGATAGGCCTTAGTGGGAGTGTTAGCTATGCGACTGTAGGGGTCTGCGGTGGAGACTCACCATCAACGTTCTGGCTCAGCGTGATAAACTGCTCCTTCTTCTTCGCCAGTTCGGCAAGGGCGTAGTGGGCGGGGTTGGGCTTGGCTTTGAGGGCCATGTGCCGTCGGTAGCTGTAGAATTGCCACACGAGTCCTGGATCGCGCTCAAAGGCTTGGGGTGTTGCTAGTGAAGTCGCGTCATGCGTCCTCCACATGCCTCCCGCACCTCGAAAAGTCGGTAGTCCAGAGGAGGCGGATAGTCCCGCACCGAGAAGCGCGAGAATACGCGTCGACTTGGTCAGGTGTTGCTGGAAGCTCTCGAGGTCCTTGGGCGGAACGACGCTGGGTTGGGCGGCCGACGAGGCCATTCTGCGGATGATGTTGGGCAGCGTCACGGCGGTGGTGGTCTTCTTCGCAGACTGGGCGTGCGAAGAGTCGGAAGATAAGCGGCCGGGCGTGTCATGTGTGCGTTGTCTGTCCGACAGGCAGAAACGGGGGCCTGGAGGTGTTTGCGGGGAGGGGGGAAGCTGCGGCGGTAGTGGCACCTGCAAGGTACGTCAGGCTCCCCCACCAGCGGCCTAGCGCCCACCAGGCCGGGAAACCGATGCCTCTTCCGCCGAAGCTTGATTCGCCCGAGCCAACTCTCCGCCAACGACCATGACTTTTGCGTTAAGATGGCTGCGACCGGCTGCACGCGTGCCATACCGGTGCGATGCTGCGAGACGCGTCGGGCGGGTGCAGCCCAGAGTCGGCGGCACGAGGGCGTATGCGGCCGCTGCTGTGCCCGCCGCTGAACTCCGTTTTGGCCAACCGCTCCATGAGACGCATCCACACCTACTCAAGGCTGGGGAAGGTGATGACCGCCCGAGCAACGTCTTACCCTCTACTAACATGCTGCAGTCACCCCCGGTATTACGGCACTCGAGTACCACCAACGCCGCGCCGCCCTCGCCAAAGAACTGCCCCCAAACTCGACCGCCATCCTCGCTGCAAACGACCTGAAATATGCGTCCGGCGCCGTCTTCTACAAGTTTCACCAGGACCCAGACTTCCTGTACCTGACGGGATTCAGAGAGCAGGATGCCGTGGCGGTAATAGAGAAACACGGAGATGGAGAGCACACATTCCACCTGTACGTCCGGCCCAAGGACCCCAAGGTGGAAGCATGGGAGGGCCCACGATCAGGCGTTGAGGCCGCAGAAGACGTCTTCAACGCCGACGTGAGCGGCAGTATCGACGACTTACCGCGTCTACTCCCCGACATAGTCAACCGCGCGCAAGCCATATACACCGACCTCCCCCAATCCCGCGTATCCAAAAACCTGCTCTCACGCTACCTCGCCGGCGCAGAGCCCTCGCGCACAGGCGGTATCTTCAATGTCTTCCGCGACGCACCCGCAAGCGTGCGACCCCTCCGCCCCCTCGTCAACGAACTTCGTCTTATCAAATCTGAAGCCGAAATCACCAACATGCGCCGCGCAGGCCAGCACTCAGGCCGCGCCATCACAGACGCAATGCGGCAATCCTTCACGACGGAAAAAGATCTGGATTCTTTCCTTGACTACTGGTTCAAGCAAGACAACTGCGACGGCCCGGCATATGTCCCCGTCGTAGCTGGCGGCATCAACGCAAACACCATCCACTACGTCTCCAACGACATGCTGCTTAACCCCAAAGAACTCGTCCTCGTCGACGCGGGCGCCCAGTACGGCGGTTACGTCACGGATATAACACGCACATGGCCTGTATCTGGCAAGTTCAGCCCCGCCCAACGCGATCTCTACACCCTCCTGCTCGCAGTACAGAGATCCTGCATCTCGCTCTGCCGCACAGATTCAAACTTCACCCTCGACAAACTACACCACACAGCCTCCAATTCCCTAGCCGCCGGTCTAAAGGACCTCGGCTTCGACATGGATGCCGATGCCATCCAGACGCTGTTTCCACATCACGTGGGCCACTACGTTGGTCTCGATGTGCACGATTCTCCTGGTCTGAGCCGGAGTCGGAAATTTGAAAAGGGCATGTGTGTTACCGTTGAGCCCGGTATCTACGTCCCCAATGAAGAGCGGTGGCCCAAATGGGCGCGCGGCATAGGCATGAGGATTGAAGATAGCGTCTGTGTGGACGATGAGAGTCCATATGTCCTCACCACCGAGGCGGTCAAGGAAGTCGTCGATATAGAGGCGTTGAGGGGGACGGAGACGAAGTTGTAAATGGGAATCGTGATATCCGCTTTGATTTTTTGTGATGAACCGTGTTTGTTATTTGCTTGATGCAGCCCTGTGGTAGAGATAGCTACAGCAGCTCATCTGAGGATGAGTTTGCTCACCAGCACAGAAGATGGTCAAATAGTCGGAACTAATCTCACCCACCCCTTCATCGCAGTTCTCACCAATCACGCACAGCAGAATCGCACTAGCGGCCCGCTCTAGGTTTCCCCCACCAGAGCAGCGGGCACCAAACCTCGTCGTCAACTCGCCAAGTTTGGTCTCTGTCGAAACAATATTATTGAAACGGTCTTGTCTTGCGATTATAGGCACACAGTGTCAGTGACTACGGCTGCCGAGCTGTAGCACATCGGCATGGCCCTGTTCAGGAATGGCGCACCACGAATACAAAGCTCTCGCGGAACGTCACATCAGGCTTCTTGAGCTACCAGAAGCTTCTCAGTGTGATGAAGAACTCAAGCTGATAGATGTGTCACTGGATGGTGCGCCCCCGTATGAAACGATCTCCTATGTATGGGGCGAGCAAGACAAATCCTTTGTCTTCGACTTGGGCTTGGGGAAGTCAGTCCTCATCACGCCTACATTGCGCATCACACTTACGCGAATTCGTCCTCATTGTCAAACAGGCTACCTTTGGGTTGATCAGGTACGGCAATGTTCTACGAGACAGACAGAGATGTCTTATTAACTCTATCGTGACATTGATAGTTATGTGTCGACCAAACAAGCATCCCCGACCGCAACCAGCAAGTATCTCTCATGGGCGAGATATACAGCAAATGTCAACGCGTACTAATCTGGCTCGGGCAAGAGACACCCTCACCCGAATACATGTCCTACTACCTAGGCTCCCTCCTCCCTCCCGCAATCCAACAAAAAACCAAACACACACCCACATCAGCCTCCCATCTATCACAACCCGGTCACCAGTCCTTTGTGCGAAACCTCCTAGCCCTACCCTGGCTCACCCGAGCCTGGGTAGTGCAAGAAGCCGTGCTACCAACCAAAGCCACTTGCTTCCTCGGCACCTTCACGTTCTCGATAGAAGATCTGTGGGCCGTCGTAGTTTACTTTAGGAGTGCTGAACGGTATCTTACGCAGAAGGACTACGTCAACTTACGCCAGCTACCCGGGTATCTAGTGCTGAATGAGATTATGCGATTGCGGATGCAGGCGCGGTATCAGCGGGGTCCTAGCCCCGACGAGTCGACGTGTTTCTACCACTCACTTTCCGTCTTCGCGCCGAGATCCAGGACGTCGAATCGACATGATATTATCTTCGCTTTCCTAGGATTGCAGCGAGATCGGCGGGTTGAGATTCTGCCGGACTACGACATGGAATGGGACGTCGTACCTTGCGTAGCCACCAAATCCATCATCGAAGCTACAGCCAGTTTGAACCTATTCGGACTGCTGCACCGGAAAGACGAAGAAGCGAGTCGGTGGCCAGTTCTGGCGTCTTGGGTGCCAGATTGGTCGAGGACGGCCGAGGCAGAACCGTTGGTTTTTCCGAGGAGTTGGATTTACTTTGATGCTTCTGCTGGGAGACGGCATGAGGTGAAGGCGGTGAAGGACCTTGACGCATCGCATTTGGTGGTTACGGGAAAGATTATTGGTGAAGTGGCGCACACGCATGCGTTTACGAAAGGCCTTGCTGAGCCGCTCGCAAACCGTCATGGATGGGACGTTTGCTCTTACCTCAACTTGCCATATCTACGCTATCTGTTGGGACAGATGTGGCGACAGGAGACGACTGCCCCATCAATGGAGCGTTTGCTGAAAGTTATTCTAGCCGATGGTTCCTTCACGCTAAACCAGAAGCTAAGAGAGCACTGCAGCGAAGGTCTACCAGCTTCCGATATAGACGAGCTAGTTTCAACGTACTTGGCGACTGAAAACGCTCCAAAGGAGCGCGATGTTGTCACAATGGGTCGTTCCAAGAACGCTGATGATCTAGGGAAACGAGCGACCAGACTTCGCGATCATGCTCGCGTAGCTTGGGGCCGACAGGTTATCGTAATGCGCGATTGGAGACTTGGGCTTGCACATCGTTCGGTCTGCGAGGGCGACTTGATATGCATCATCCACGGTTCGAAAGTGCCTCTTGTGCTCCGTCGTCTTACTAACGGTTATTATCGTTTGATGGGCCAGTGCTACTTTGAAGGCGCCATGCGCGGCGAGGAAGTAAGCTGGGATGAGGCGAGTGCAGATAAATTCGTACTTGTGTAAGAGGCGCTGCTGGTAGTGTTCATGTTTGTTGGTACTTTTTCTAAACCATCTCAAGGCACGATATGATTAATTGGGTATAGATTATTTATTAAGTATACACATGAAGTGCCTGAATATCTACTGCTTCTAGTAAGTGTAGCAAAGGAGTTTACCCTGAGTATCCAAAAGATCCCTCAACTTAACAACCGGCGCCAACTTACCCAGACCAACCTCAAAGTCTAGAGTAACATTCTTGCCACTGTAGTCGAAAGGAATGATTGGGCCACCAACCTGGTGAAGGCGGTTCTTCAAGTCCTTCTGCTGCCACATCGAGAAGATGTGGTCGATGTTGCCGTGGTGGAGGTAGAAGACGGGTTCACCGGGGCTGTTGTTCGCATCACCAGCCTGTCCCAATGCACCGCCAACACCAAAGTGGCCACTGCCGTGGATGTTGGGTACCGCGAAGGTAGCCTCGCCCTCGACTGCGCGGGCAAAGCCAGTGTAGTCCTTCGAAGCCATGACCTTATCGACGAGCTTTTGGTCGGCCCAGACGTTGATGAGGGTAGGGACGAAGTCGCGCTTCAGGCAGTGAGGTTCCGGGAAGTTGACCATGAACTTATCGGGTGTGAAAGGTCCATTGGTGACACATCCACCACCTGTTCCACCTTCAACACCAAAGGGGTTCGTCTCGGGTGTGGGGTCGACCTTGACACCGTTACCGCCGAAGCCGGTATCTGGCTGCCAGATCTCAGAGTCGAAGATGCGTGTCGATGTGGGGTTTTGAGGCTCCGCATCTGCAGACCAGTTCCAGTAGGGTTGGCCGCCGGTGTAGCCGCATTCTTCGCGCAGAGCCTTTTCGTAGGTGGCGACGAAGTAGCGGTGCCAAAGTGTGAAGTGACCGACCCAGTGGATGTCGGGTGTTTGGCTGCTGTGGACGGCTTGGAAGTCGTCGAATCGGTTGATAGCGCCCTCGATGCCGGAGATGGCTGGCTTTGACGCTAAGCAAAGTACCGCATCGATGTATGCCTTCTTCTGAGGAATCGACAATTGTTTCCTAAAGGGAAGGTGGTGAGTAGGGTCTCAGAGGGTTTCAAATGTGTTAGACCTACCACTCGTAGCGCTTGATGGGGTTCTTGCAAGTCTTGGCCGCAGGTGCAGGAAGAGCCGCTGCTACTGCCGACGAAACGAGACAGAGCGAAGAGATGAGGACGTTGATCTTGACCATATTTGCGGTTGAAGTTGAAATGCGCAGCTATGTGTTTCAGATGGTTCGAAGGCGGAGTCTTGAGGTCCCTGGAGACTTGTAAAGATGGTGGGCGTCAAGCTTTATGTGCGGCTCATTGTAGGCCTTATCAGACGCATTTTACCCGTGCAAGACCCATCGAAAGGCATGATCGCTATCAAAATTAGAGCAAAGGGCAGTGAGTGGCGAACGGACGTGAGCATTGGGAATAGAAACGGGACGTTGGACCCTACGCTGTGGGATTTGGAGCGATGTCCGGGGCCTGGAAAATTCCTGTATGCATGGCGATTCAGGAGACATGCAGCCGCGCCGCATGCAAGGAAAAGTTGAATGTGTACCTGCTAATCAAATGTTAGATGCGTTAGTGTGCGGCGCAGAGATTTGCGTAGCCATCGAGTTATCCAAATACCTTGCTGCACATGTGCCATCACAGGCTATAACCGTTCAAGCTCTTCTCTGCATAGAATGTTCTTATTGTAAATCCCCATGGCTTTTCAGCGTCCGTTGGGCCTAAGGAAATGTCCCGAGCGGAAGATGTAGCGTGGCTAGTGCATGTTCCATCAAATGTAAGCTACCGAGAGCTTGGACGGCTCGTATTCCTCCCATGTGGCGCTTAACCGGAGGCGATTGGTTCGGAGGCGCTCTACACGGGAAGCCCTTATTGACGTTCTTCCTTTGAGTTCACCCATGCGCGCCCACGGTCTACTACCTAGATGTGATGGCATGGCCAGACCAATTTGAAGCGGAAACGCACGTTCTGTGTTTGCTTGAGCATTGAAGAATACAACAATTTCGGATGATTGTGGCCGGTGGGCCGGGCTGGATATTCCTGTAGGATTTACCTTGCATAGCCAAGAGGTCGTTGCCGAGATAGCTAAGATGGATGCGTGTTTTCTTCCCTCATCCTTTCGATCTTGTCGTGCTGGCGGTCACATGGGATTCTTTGAGTTCGGAACAAAGCAGCTGATAGGAAGCGTATTGTTTCTATCGGTGTTTTGCTTCCCAACGCGTGTCTTTGCTCAAACAGCAAAGTTGTTGCGATGAGGTATGTGGGCTAGGGACGGGTGAACCCCCGGGTCGGTTTGGCCCGCCTCCGCGCTGCGGCACAATCAACGTCTGAGTCGTGTGTTTAACGATTGCATTGATTGGAAGGACTCCAACATGCCCAAGTGTTCTTGTTGGCGATTGACGGGAAAAAATAGGGTCAATGGTGGCGAACGGGACTAGATGCTGGGAAGAGAAGGCACGGCACGGAGCTGCTGCACTGCCCTGGTCTCGGTGACAATGGAGCGTTCCTTCGTCCCAGGACCCTTCGTCTTCATTCGCGCTGCTCTCCTGCGTACCGGCTCTCGGCTGGGGAACGGGGAGAGCGCGCGGGTGAGTCCAGCTCCGCCTCGCAGATAGCCGAGGGGAGCTAGACTGTTTGGGGCGAAGAGCCGCATCACCAACATCCACCTTGACCGAACGAGGACAGTCGCACCGAAGTCCTAAATCCTACCCACTCTGTCGTCGTCCAACCGTTCCATCTGTCCAATGGTGGCTCCGAGACATTAGCCGCCGAGGACGGAGTTCATTCAGTCCTCTTGGAAATGCGGCATGTAATGACAGAAGGATTTGCAAGATGAAGCCGTTGGGTGATGTCGTCTTGCGACACGGCTGGGCATATTCAAGGAGAAGTTGGTAGCATTCATAGCCATGGTTCGTGCCCGTTAACGCCAGATCAACCTCATGTGAGTGCATGCCTCCAGTATGGCAGACGGTGGCTATGGTATCACTTGGGACAATGGCTCGCGGCAGCCAATGTTCGTGATCACGACTGGATTTTTAATCTTCTTCGCGACAATAGCAGTAGCACTTAGGTAAGATCTATCAGCCCTTGATAAGTACATTCGTTGACCGTTTGCTCACCTTTTCCTAGGCTTTACTGTCGCTTCACTTTCACACGGCACATAGGACTCGATGACAAGTTCATGGTAGCTGCGTGGCTGGTATCAGTTTCTCTCGGCATTCAGAATGGTTTCCTTGTTAGCTGGGGAACTGGGTATGTACATCCGTGTCTACACAGCATATGATCACTAACAGAAGAAAGTCGGCACAACGACGATCTGGATGCCTCGATCATATTGATCCCCACATTCAAGCACTGGTAAGCCACCTACTGTCCAAACAGAAAGCTCACGACTGACTCTGCTTCAGGTATGCGTATCAGCTCGTGTACCCATGGGCACTGTTCTTCGTCAAAGCCAGCATCTTGGCCCTCTACCATCGAATCTTCACCCAAACCAAATTTCGCTATACGGTCTACTGTGTAGCCGCCTTTGTTGCTGTTCAGACAGTTATCGTCACATTCGTCAACGTACGTCATACGCTGAGCTGCCGTATACTTTATTGGGCTCACCGCTGATTTACCCAGGCTTTTGAATGCGGAAAAGAGCCATGGAGGGCGTGGTCACCCACCTTTCCGAAGGGATGTAACGATCTTGCCAAGACATATTTCTCGATGGCTTCGGTCAACATCCTCACCGACATCTTCATCCTGGTTATGCCGATGCGCGCTTTTGGGCAACTGAAACTTCAACGGACCAAGCGATTTGCGCTCCTCGGCGTGTTCATGGTCGGCGGCGTAGCGGTGATTGCCTCTATCGTTCGGCTGTACGCTCTCTATGTGTACGCAGTAACGGATGATCCACCATACGATGATATTTTCGTAAGTACCAACCCAGTCGAAACCTTGAAGATCCATAATCATACTAACGCTGCAATAGATCCTCTTGCTCTCGCAAATCGAAGTAAACGCAGCCATCATATCTGCCTCCGCCCCAGCGCTCCGACCTCTTCTTACCAAGGCGTTCGCATCCTCATCCCACAACTCATCCGGTCAATACCCAGTGTCCTACGGGGTTGGTGGACCGAACTCTAAGATGTTCAGCCGTACTGCTCGAACGCGTTCAAGGGGACATATGGAGCTATACTCATTCAATGGAACAAAAAGGGTTAGTAAAGCTCCGGTAGGGGATACCCGGAATACAAGTGAAGAATCCATACTGGGCCCCGAGGGCATTACAAAGACGGTTGAAACAAGAATCGAGGAAAATTACTTGGGAGATTCTATCAATGGAGGGCATGGTAGACATGGGGAAACCCAAGGGTATGATGGTGTGAGGCATAGCGATGTATAGTATTCACGATCAATAGTCCTATAATGGAATTCTACCAGCCACCAAACAGAGCGTGCGCAAACTTTGGCGGATTAATGTTCAATTTTCCAATAGTATCATTTCATTCCTACCTACACACAAAGTCATATATCAGCGCCTGAGCGGACTGCGGAAGCCCATACTACCAAACTGGCTACCTCCCTTCTTCGGTGTCGTCAACGGATCCGGGACTTCCCCACCATAGCTACCACTCACAGCCCTATGTCCCTGCCCACCATTCCCGACAGCCCTTCCTCCACTACCTGGCGCTTTGAATCCCACCAAACTGCCCTTAGCATAGACGTCATTCAACATCTGTTCCAACACGCCCGCATCATCAAACTCCTGCCACTTTCTCCACAGCTTCAGCGCCGTCGTCGCGTCCTCGATCGAATCATGCGTGTCCTCTTGGATGCTCTCTTTCAGTACACACCAAGCCAGGAACTTCAAGTTCAGTTTTCGCTTGAAGTCTGGTTTGAACCATAGGTTGCTTGTGTCGACGACTTGGTTCTTGGGGACGTGGATGTTGATGGTGCGGAAGTCGTTGGCAAGTGAATGGCCGACGAAGACACATCCTAGATTGAGTAGCAACCATAACTTCTTGTAGGCGTGTTTCAGGGATACTGGCGCGTGTGGAGAGGTTTCGCGGCTGAGGTCGCCCGGAGATATACCAGACCATTCGGTGAGGTAGTCGACAACTTGCTCGGTTACAGCGATGTAGTCATCGATGAAGGGAAGGCCTGCCTGCTCTCCTTCGCCGCGACATACAGAGACACGAGCTAAGCCCTTGCGATCAGGACGAATGGTCTGGCGGGTGCCATCGGCCTTCATTTCGATCTCTTCGGCTTGGAGGCGAATGAACTCGGCATCGATAGCGACTGGGTAGCCAGGGCGTGGCTCTTCTGATGAGTGTTGAAGCAGCTTAAATTTCTCCTCTGGAGGCGTTGGATTAGACGACCACCACCTGTACAGAATGGAAGTGTCAAGGTTCTGTTTCCACGAGTCGTCGATCTTGTTGCGGGCAGACTTCAGCTGGAAGGTCAAGACAGACGGAAGCTTCCAACTTGTATCGAAGCGCAGAGCCTCCTCTTTGGGGATTGGTCTCACTAGGAAGTCGTTAAAGAGATGCCATCTGTCTTCTAAATCCTCTTCTCGTGACGAAGGTGCGGTGTTGATGGTCGCTACCAGGTGAGGCTTCTGACGCTCGCCGCTGTTGATATCCGCGACGACTCCAACAAGTTCATAAACCATGATCTGATGTACTCCGCGTTGCAGGTGTAGCTTCAGGTCTTGGCCTTCGAAACAGTAGAATTGACCTTGATCTACTATGATCCCGATCTCTTGCGGAAGCCAATTGGGCGTCGACCACAACAACTTGGCTTCATGGCTTTGTATGGCAGCGTTGAGCATCAACACTCCAGGTACTGACTGGATTGTCTTCCGCTGTACCATCTGCTGGTAACGGTTGCACTTTGTACACCAACCCCGAGTTTGATCTTGCCGCTCGACGCTAGCTTTCAGGATCTGTGAGAAGGTCGGACGTGCTATTCTAGTGTTCCTCATCACCTGCTTCGCAGGATATACGAGCTCATTGACGAAGTTCTTGCCTCCACGGATGGTTTCGTTATTGCACTGTGCACATCTCATGCTCGCTTTTGCCTGGGTTTCCAGTACTTGATCCATGGCTGAAGGCCCATTGTTCCCTGGAAGCATCTGTCGGAATTCTTCGGAAACCTTGTCCAACAGAAAGCGGTTGAGGTTCTGGATCATAGTGGTAAGTGCAACGTTGGGAGCAAATTCTTCAAGCAGATTCAGTGAGACTGCATTCGAAAGGCCACTGAAGGTCTTCAAGAAGTTAGATGCTTGACAGTTGAGCCCAGCCGCCTTTTCGAGCATATCGATGAGAAACCCCAGTTCGCAAAGAAGGCAAGACTCAAAGAGGCATGGCGAAGCAGTGTGTTGCAGAGCAAGATTTCGTAGCAGCGGCGTAAATCGGAAGAGTTGCAGAAGTGAATTGGCGTAAGAGTTGGTAATGTGAGTCTCTAGACCAGAGTAGGGTGTCTGGTTGTAGTAGCTGGTGCCGTGTCAGTGCGTGGGCAAATGATGTTGTTGGGAAGACATACGCAAAGTCGAAGTCATCAACACCGAACTTGCTGTACTTGATCTCCACGTTTCCATACATGGCTGGAACATCTTTGCGTGTAACATCGTCGAGATGCAGGTCGGTCAAAGTCTCCATAGTCTCTGTTATCCGGGCATCTGGCTCGGTGAAGGACTGCGATGCCCGAGCTTTCTCACTTAGAAACTTGGGGGCAGACAGCGATTCGCTCACTCTATCCACCTGCCGTGTTGCTTCGGCTTGGTTTCTGCGCTTCGTATTGGGGTTCTTGGCGTAGAATCCAATCTCGGCGCGCGTCATGTTGCCGAGTATCGTGCTATCAATCTTAGGCGGAGGGGCACCGACTTCGAAAACTAGATGACTAGGCCAACTCGAAAGCAGCTGTTCCTTGTAATATGGCATACCAACAGTACTCAGGGGTCTGGGCAGAGTAAGCAATACGTCAAGTTTGAAAATCGGTAAGACCTACGTGTCAGGGTTCCAATCCATCTGTGGGGGCGGTGGAACATTATGATCTGCAGTCTCTGTTGGGTTGCTGTATTCTGGGAAGTGTACTTTGGTCGGAGAGCCCCAAAGATGTATGTGCGAGTTGGAGTCTGCTAGTGCAATAGCCTCGCCAGAAGGTGCCATCTCAAAGCCAGTGAGGAACGAATCGTAGAAGTTCAGTTGCCGGAGGTTGGCCGAGTCGGGGTTCATGAGATCGATGACCTGCATCTGGCCGTTCTGAGAGGCGATGAAAGCTGTAGTAGACATACGGGGATGCATGCGCACATAGGCTGCACCTGTGTGGAATGGGATGGGAGGTAGCTGTTTCAGCGTCTTCAAAGAGAAGACATTGGTGAATGGGTCCAGCATATATGCATATTGTTGTCGTGGAGACCATCCGCATGTTGCAAGGAAATCGCCCTTTGCGTCCATGTCGTTGATGCTACCAGTATGACCTTCGAAGACCTTGATGACGGCAAGCGAATTTGAGTCCAAGATGTGGATGCTACCGGTCTTCGTGGCGGCGCAAAGGTACTGTCCAGCACGCTTCATGATGGTGTATTGAGCTTCGTTAGGGAGCTTCGATTGGTTAGTTCAGGGTAATTAATGAAGGCATGCGATATACCGTGTGTGTGATGATGCCCTTCTCCACGTCTACTTTGAACATTTGCGCCTGGCATCCTGCGACGAGGATCTCGCGCGTGCCTTTGGAGGTGAAGTTCATGCATGTCATGTCCTTGAACTCGGCGCTCCTATACGCTGATGGTCAGCCGCTGCCCTTGTGCGCTCTTTCCCCTTCCGCAACCAACATACGTCAGATGCCATTGTGTGAGTCCGCGGCGGTGGGAATAGTGGACGCTTTGTTTAGAGATGGAGAGAATCCCCTTCTCGGTGAAGAGGAATTGCTTGACGGGGCCATCGGGAGGCGCATGTCCGCGGTACGAGGTGTAGCGTTCGAGGTGAGGGCCGTAGAAAGACGTGACGCGCCCCTGCGAAGATGTCAGTCGCACGGCACCTGGCACGGGTCGCGTGTGAACGTACTCACATGGTTGTTTCCTGTCCATAGCAGTTCTTGTGTTGTGTCGAAAGCGAACGTCGATATGGGTACAGCGGGTAGGTGTGGTCCTGGGGGCGGCAATTGAGCGATGGCTAGCTGCGCAGTGGTCAGTACGGTAGGCGTGATTGGCATGCCGTCGGCTACCTACCTCGTCCCAATCCGCCTCCATGCTGAAGTCGCGTGTTGCAGTCCAGGAGCTCTAGGGAGCAGTCCCGACATGCCTTGCGCTTCGTGGTTGACGGACGCGTCGCGGTAGTTGGACCGTCGAGGCGTGGGGTGAGGCCGGAGCTAGAAGACGCGAGGATGTGTGCTGGTGGGACCGCGGGGCATTCGGGAACAAAGCCGCGACCACCGCCTTGGAAGGTGCTCGGCAACTCAACGTCCTTCGCGTAGAACACGAGGCTACACTTATTGCTCATGGCTATGGCACGGTGGCAAGTGATCTTGAACTTGAATGTTTGATTCCTATGAACAATCCCCAAACGCTATTTGTCCGACCGACTACGTAAAAGACCTGGCCGCAGATGATGTACGCACAAGAGTAGTGGCTCATGTACGCACGCACGAAAGGAGAAAGTAAAAGTGCATGTATCTTACCTGACAATGTAACCTAGCCATACGTGATGCGTGACCAGTGATGTCAGATGAAGTGGGTATCGAACGCCTATCGAGTCGTCGTGCTTAGTGAGTTGGCTCAACAGACGAGAGTGTGTACCGAAGAGTCATACCGAAAGATGCAGATGTCGTGGTCTTCGTGTAGACTCAATCGAGTAGTCGTGAGTAGTCGAAACGAGTGCGAACTCCTGCATCAGGTTAGCTCCATCCTCTTATACAAAGCCAAAGCTTCGCTTCTCGATCAACAATGGATCACTCCATGTAGCTGAGGTATGCCTAGGTCTGAAGTTGGCCCGAGGGCAACGTAAGCAAGGGATTCAGAGTATCAA